AAGTACCTCGCTATCTCTCAGCTCCGTTAGCATCGCCGACCGTTTGATGCAGGTCCTTTTCCTACCATGCGATTTTCAGATGCTCGAAAACCCATTGCTTAGCGAACAGCCCGATAATCTGCGAGAGAAAAAGAAATGAGTGTTTGATAGCTGTTTAAGTGAGTTAATGTGAAACGTGTCGCAACATTCACGTGCAAATGCACCTTGCACTTTACATACCTACATATCCCTCACAACTACAAAACGAGAGGGGGAGGGAGAGAGAGAGGGAGAGAGAGAGAGAGAGAGAGAGAGAGAGAGAGAGAGAGAGAGAGAGAGAGAGAGAGAGAGGGAGGGAGGGAAGGAGAGAGAGAGTTGGGGGAGCGTGGAAGAGAGGGAGGAAGATTGGGGAGAGAAGGAAAGAACCCACAACGTATCACAAGTGAAGTCTATTTGATGTTCCTATACTTCCGCTGCCCTGCCAATTTGCCCCTCGTTGCGTTTTCGCAACACCCCTGTCTTTCCGATGTGCCCAACGTTGCGTTACCGCAACACGACTGTAGTCATATTTGAAAATAGTCACAAACCCTATTTGCAGCAGAATTTGTTAATAAAATGCATATTCTAGCTATTGTAGGGACTCTGCAGAATATGTTCACACATTATTCATTACGATATAATTAATCACTTAATCTACTTATTTTGGTTTTCGTGACGTCATCACTGACGGGACCTACGACTTCCCTCTGGGAGCTCTGGACGGTAAGTTACCGGCCGCACAAACTTGTAACTGCGTAGCATCATGCGCGCAACCATGCTAAACGCGCTGAAACTTGTCTCATCGGTGAGACGCCATTATACACTTCTCAAGATTTGATAACGTCGACGCTTGCTTGTGTTGCGAAAACGCAACGAAGGGCGTAAATGGGTTAATTTGATCAGAAGGAAAATAAAGATGGAGTGGCGACACTCACAGTCGACGTCGCGTCGCGGCATTCAGATGGCTGGGTCATTGGGAAGATGAGTAGCGAGCGATGCTCTTTTACTTCGTTTGCGTACGGGATATTAAAATTGCTGTCCCGGTGAGATTACGCACAAACGTTTGCTTCATGCTAAACTTATGTACCGCGCTGGAAAGGCATATCTATACGTAAAGGGCGCCTTCTGCTATTCCGTTTTCACACAAAATTAAATAATTTGTCTAATAACAGACGGCGTTCATTAGATCTATGTCGCATGCCTCCTGTGGTTGATGTGCTTAGAGGAAAAAAACGCGTTAAAAGTAAAAACCCTCTGCGTACTAAGCCATCCTTATGAAGGATGATAATGAGGGCTCATGGATGTCTGTCCCTCCGGTCACCTAGATACTGACGCCTAACTAATGAGGCTGCATCCATGCACTCACGGGTGCACCGCATACGACCGATGCGGCGTCGGGCGGCAGCTTCATTCTGTTTTATGCGTTCGGTCCGCGCCTTTCGGCTCGGCGGGATTCCTGTTTATCCTCGCGTCTGGCAGCGCTGAATCCCCCATCACGACCATGGGGACACCAGGTCGGGTTGGTGGCCGCAGAGAGCTGAAGGAGGTGGGAGGCGTGATACTGCACAATGCTCAGTGCACAGTGCACGCTGCACAATGCATAACGCACATTGACTCCTATCATGGTGGAGGAATCGTTGCTGCTGTGTAGTATGTATTTCCTGGTATATAGCTCTGCGCCGAGAATGCAATGGAATTTTGATAGATTATTTTAACATCATGGAGTGTCCTACATACTTTTGTTCTTACATGTAGGTATGTGGCTCTGTAGCCTGTGTTTGCATCGCACCTAGCTGCTGCCGTTCAATGTTTACTTTACTGATTTATAACTGATTCAGGCTGTGTGCCGGCGCCTGGTCGCGGCAGTCATTCGTTCGATCCTCACTGAGCTGCACCAGCTGCCCTCACTCCCAGGCGCGGCAATGTCAATTCGCCGAGAATATTGGACCGTCGCGCATCGAATGGCAAACAGGATTGTAGTTGTCACAGAAAAAGCACGGGATATATCATTTTGATGGCGGAGATAGAAAAAAGCATGCGACCGAACGAGGTAAGAGAAAGGGTGGTTTCCGTTCTATCTTAAGAATTGCTAACTGCTCGAGTTTAGTGAGATGTAAGATGCTTCAATCAATCAAGAGCTTGCCTCGTACATACATTAGCGTGCTGCACGATTGTAACACAAAAACATGTTTTGCCGCAGGCCCGCAGTAATTCATCTAATCTCGGTCAACAACAAGTCACTCGTTCTGGTGCCGGATTTTCTGCCAAGTTCAAACACCAAGTCGCGTGTATTTCGCCGAATCTGTTGGCTGTTTCCACAGAACGATCTATGTATTTGGCTTGCAGACTAACGTCCGAAAATAAACATGCCGTTGACCAGCTAAATTACGATAGATGAATCCACAGTGGCCCAATTAGCACCGAAACTCGAGTCAGCTGTGATGATATATGATTCTCGGCAATCACGCGAACAGGACTCTGGGCCGTTACGGTGTTGCACACGTGATCTTCCCGCCGGGCCGGGGTCGATGATTTTGCTGCTCTCTTGGTGCCAGGATTACACGGGGATACGAAGGGCAGAGGGGAGGACGACCATTCGCACCCCCCCCCCTCTCGGCACGGCGCTGGTCCCCGGGTCGTGACATATGGCACCGATAAATCGCCGCGGCTACGCTGTTTACTCGTCCGAGGCCCACCCGACGCAGACCGCCGACATAATTTATGCGTCATTCTGTTCACGTCTGACGACCGCAGCAACATTCCGTGGGACCGTTTGGGCGGTGGGCCGCGACAGGCCGCGGGCTGTGGCGGCCTCCCCAGCCTGATCTGGGACGCCACGGCGTCTCTCGTCGCTGGAAGGCGCTGTCCTATAGGGAGGTCTGCTTCGCCCCTGTGCATTGGAAACAAAGAGCAGAGAAATAGAGATCTAACCGTCTGCTTAGACGCAAGCTGAAGTATGCTGCTAAGACCCTCGTTCCATCTCGTTCCTATCTTCAAAATTATATCCATCACCTAGCTTATTCAGTTCCTCGTTTTGTGCAAAGTCAATCATTTTTACCCAAGTTTTCTATTTCGTCAAATCATGTTAAAATAACTGACTTCAGCTCAAATTTTAGGCATTTACCGCCATTCATAAGTCTTGTTCGCTCTCTTCCATTTTCTTTTCCTTCTCCGTGTTTAACCGCCGTTCAGTCATCCATCGGCTCTCTTTCACTCTCCTGTGTGTTAACTCACTCCCTATATTGCCTGCAGCTGACTCACCTCTGAATGGGAGCCGGTTAATACCGCCACCCTCCCTGTGTCCGATCGACTCCGTCTCGCGGGTCCCGTTTCTCCATCCGTCGGAAACGTGCGCCGACCGCCCACACACTCCAGGCTCCGTGTCTCTGAGACGAGTCCGCTCGCCATTCGGCCAGCATCAATTCGCCACCGAGCCACTGCAGTTCGCCGGCAAACGGACACCAATTCAGCGCGGCACTAACGCCGGATGACCGCCGTGCTAACGCCGAGTCGACGTCAAACTGCGCTGGATGGAATGACTCGGACCGCAGACGAGTCAGGAATGTAGCGTCATGCATAGCAGCTGGATTGTAGGTATGTAGGTAGATAAGATACAAAGGGAATCTGTCGCTGTCAGTGCTGAATGTCACATTAAAAGGTCGAGCAGATGAAACGGTTGTAACTGAATGCTGTGACCTGCGAGTTCATCGAAAATAATGCATTGTCAGACTAAAAGTCCCCGCCACGCCACTCGAAGACCGAGCCCTATAAGCAAATTAGTGTACAGCATACAATGCGTAAGACATTTTAAAAATAAAGATACTCGCTCTCGCGTGAAATCCCTCGCTTCCGTACGGAGTGGCGTCGAGATATCAATCTAATGCAGAACTCCTTTCAATAAGATGATCGCTTGAAAACAATCTACAAAGGCACCAAAACTATTTCCATTCTCTATGCCTTGCCCGGTTCATCCGTTATTCAATAAAACCAAAATATTCCATAAACATTCGCTCGGTTTATATTTCTTTGTTGGAAGTGGGTGCTATTTTATTCGTTGGTTTGAACGCCCATTTGGCAGTGCTTTAGCATCTGTCAACAGATGGCAGCACCAGTTAGCGCCTGAAGGTATGCTGTGCCGCATGGTCGATCGAGCTGTGGCGCCAGTCCACGAACGTGGTCTTCAAGGAAGGATCACTTTAGACCAAAGAGTTGGAATAGGGCTCTTATAGTTATGTCACATTCCATACCAAATGAAGAAAATGGCTGCGTAAAATGCTACTTACTTCTACTGTTTGCTGTCTTTTTCAGGTTAAAACATCCCACAGTGCCCCGGTACCTACCTACATTGACGACACCGCGTTGAATGTTTCCAGTCTGTCTTCTAGCAGCACCGACATAATTTCAACGCAATATCATGGTGATAAACTGGCATAATCAAGTCGTGTTCGTAAGTCTGGAGGATTCATCATATCCACAAACCTTTGCTAAATCATGAGCGAATGTAGGTATATGTTATATAACTGAAAAGACCTCATTCGTTCGGACAAATTAATGCATTAGCACCACGCAAAGCTGCCATTGAGCTTTTATTTCTAGATTGATTATCTTTACGGCTTTTTAGAAATTATCGACAATTTTTACAAAACTAATATTATCTAACTATTGAAGCAAAATCTTCAGCCGAATCTGCGGAATGCGCATCCATAAGCCTCAATCGGACCACTTGGCTAGTGGATAAATCCGTTTCATTTTGCCATGCAAATCTTGGCTATGGTTGTTGAAGTTATAATTTAATTTCACTCGCGATAGAGCTCTAAAGGACAGAGCAATTACCGTCATAAAAACTGCTGAAGTGCCGTCGGGATGACAAAAAAGCGTTAAAACGGCCAGTAAAAACCATCTGCCGGGAAAGCAGGCGTAAAAAGCAGCAGCTCCGTAGGAAGGTAAGAGGGCAAAATCTTATGAATGGAGACACACCATGCTGACACAAAAAGTTTAGTTTATTTAACAATACATGGCGCATGTATGAGTGCGTAGACGACGCAAATAAATGACAATTCACTTGCACACCATTACTTAGTAAAAACTATGACACGCTCTTCATAAGACTAGACGAATGTATCAGTGGCTGGTTATATCCGGTATGAAACAAATAGAAGACATCCAGAAACGCATCAATGGATAGCGACTGTTTATGGATAGCTGTTCTCAATGTTTTTCCTAGATTAGGCAATCAATTGCCTAAAGTAAAGAATAAAATGCCCGTGGGATATTCAAAAAGTAGTTCAATGATGTAGATACTTAATACCTTATGTACAGAAAAATGTAAATAATTGTCGCACCTGGTGTAAACAATCGACGAAGTATTATAATAAAACGAGCACACCAATTTAGTTGTTACCGAGCCATTACACGTTCGAAGAAGCAAAACCGACAGCATAATTGCTGCAAAAGAAACAGCGAACTGCAGCTCACATATTACCCTGAATAAACGGCGCCGACGGCTACGAATGAATGGCAAGCGAGGCGCCGCACCGCCAGACCAATTGGCGTGTGATTCCGCCAGAGAATGACGGCTCATTATTGCTTTGTACATTCACACCTCACACGGGGCACAGCGAGATCAGTGGCGCACGTGCGCGCGCGCGCGCGCCAAGCGACGGCTGGTACAAAATCGACTAGGCCGCCGTTACGGGTACAAAATCCGCGCCTTAGACCGGCACGGGGGGCACCCCAGTGGCACGTGCCGCACGTGGCACACGTGGCTGGGTCGCCACCGGACACGTGGCAGCACGATTATCGCGAACATCCCGGTATGTTCCGTGACGGTCTCCCTGAAGTCAGTGTCCGCGTCACGACGTCACAACAGCCGCGGCACGGCGCCAGACACAGTCTAAACTCGCCACAATCCGCGTCCGAGTCCCCGCACCGTGTCCAGTTCCGTCACGAACCACCACTCGCGCGGCGCGTCCATCACTAGCCGAACTCTGGCGTCCGTACCGCCACACCCTGTCCCGACACTACACCTGCGTCCGTTCACCCTCCACACCAGCTTTCGACGGGAACTTGATCACGGCGTACTCCACAGCTGGTGGTGCGGCGCTCGGCGCGGTATCCTCGACCTGCCGGCCCGGCCTCCGCGCCTGGCGGAGCTTTCTCATGGAGCCATTGTTGGAGGCTCTGGGCAGCTGGAGGTCGGCGTAGATGATACCGCCGCCGCCGCCACAGGAGGTGCTGTAGACGGTGGGTCGGTCCGCTCGATCGTCCTCCTCGCCACAGAACTGGGGACGCGGCGAGTGTTAGACTGAGGGCCGGGGTGATGTTTGGAGACGGGGCTGAAATGGCCGGAGCTGGAAGTGAATTAACGTTTGAGACCGAGTACAAATATTAACTTGTTTCTTTGCTACCAATTTTTGTAGCACATGCGTGCATGAGCCGAAAGGTGGATATAACGTAGAATGAATGCCGTTAGAGCAAGAACTCTGGAAGTTCTTTCATCAACGATTTATTATGCTAAAAGTAAAAATAAACGACATATAATTTAAGTGGTTTAACGTATCGGAGACCTTTATTTGTGTTCACAAAAAAGCGTTTTTGCATTAGTATCCAATATCCATCGAAATTGCTACCCCAAAAAGCAGCCGATTCCAACCACCTACAACCCCAAGACCACACCAACGTGGAACTCGAGCAGACAGTCACGAAACGAACAGAAATCCACCACCCTACGCCTGTCACTATAGCCACAGGCGGCAAGCAAATCCAGCAACCATTGCAACCAGTCCCTTCCCACACAGACTTTTATACAATATGCAACAGTAATATATTGCAAATAGATTATCTCGCAGCCCACCACAAACCATAGACCAAACAGCCATGCTACGCCACCACAAGTCCGGTAACACTCTCCGCTCCCTGCTGCAGCCGATTTAACAATTTGCATAAGATCTAAATAAGATCTTATGAGTACAGAACGGGGAGGTTACGTTCATTGCTGGAAGAGTGCTGAGACAATTTTAGACGGTCAGAAATAATAAAATGAGAAAATGCCGAGCCCAATCGCTAAAATTCGTCGGGTGACCACCTAATGTTATTTTTCTTCTTATTCTAACAGAAACACCAGTCGGCTTAAGCAGAGGAGTGGAGATGGCACCAGCCCGTGGAGGCGCGGTTAGTGCGTACTTGCGGCGGGTTGGGGCGCAGGTGCTGCCACCAGGCGGCTGGCGCCGGAACTAGACGTTGGTGGGCGCCCTCACCTCGTAGCTCGCTATGCCCTGCGGCGGTTTCTTGGGGCCGGCGTAGAGGGCATCCGGTGGGATGGCCCCGAGCCCATTGCGACCGGCTGCCTCACCGTGTCCGTTGGTGTCGGCCTTCTCACTGCAACGGCCAACGACTCAGCACAGGGGACACAGACGAACAGAGGACCAAATGGCACAGGGACGGAAAACTTTAAACGGTGACGGAAACGTACTCGTAAACGGTGACTTTGAGAGGTAAATTTTAGTCAAATCTACCTGAAGATTACCGTTCACTGAAAGGTATTTTCTGTAGGTACAGTGAAGCAATGGTTTCAACTTAATTATACTCCACAGAAAAAAAAAGGTTGTTGGCACAAATAACGATATAATAGTTGGCTTTTGATCAAAATTGAATTTTATTACCTTTCGATGTCCGTAGGCTTGAAGCCTCCTTTATCTGAAAATGAGAGAAAGGAGTCTGATGAGAAAGTTGTAATCAACGATGACTTGTTTGTAATCTGCATATGACATGACATAAACTTTATGTCATGTGTCATGAAAAGCAGTATGTCTATGTCTCTCAAAACAGTGCTCACAACAATTCTTATTAATAGCTCATTAAAACTCACGAGAGAAGCAGCATTGTCCTTTCTTAAAGGCGTGGCATATGATGGCGATCAGAACAATGAGCAGCAGAAGACCGGAGCCAGCGATGGCCATCACGGTTACCATGGAAACGGGCTCGGCCAGCAGCTGGACGCCTGCAACAGGTTGCCGTGCAACTCGTGAACGGGGATCGGTAGACGAATACGAAATATCAGTAGCAACTAGCGGTCCCCTTTGGTGTCGATTAGAATGTAAATAAAGAGATCAAACTCCCATGTACAATAACTTTTTGTGGATGAGAGTGGGAAATCATTATAATCAAAACAGTGGCATACGTGCCCTCACCACGGTGAGGAAAGTGTAACCAGCAACGTTTAGAAAAATAAGTTGCCATTATGCAAAAAATGCATCAATAAACACGAGCACGGCTAGATAGCTTCTTTATAAGTAAGTTTATAAGTTTCATTCACATAAACCAATAATTTTTTGTTGCCTGTGAGAGGAGATATCAAAGTCTGGGCACGAAATATTCGGTTCTGTTTTCGGCCTCTTACTGCAGCCACCGGAATCCTGTTTCCAATCCAGTACTACTGTTATCTGTGCTACTTTCAATTGAAAACACATGCTAAGGGTTATGAAGCCATTTATAATGCAGGAGCACGTATCATATTCCTTTATGTAACAAATTTACATTATTGAACTCCCGCAGTTCGCGCATGCTTGAGTGGAAACTAAGGTCCATCAGCACACCCATCGGCGGCTGACCTGACCAGGTCACTGACCTTTGACCTGAAGTGCGAGCGCGTGACGGTCAGAGCCGAGCGGGTTCTCGACGATAATGACGTACTCTTGCTCGTCGGCGGGACCGGCCGACTGGATCCTCAGGCGGGTCTTGTAACAGGCTTCGGCCGAATCCTGACGACGGAAAATGAGCAGAAATCAGCCTCAGCGAATTATTCGGTCTACCGACGAGACGCTATCAAATGGGGATGCAGAAATGGGGATGCAGAATTGATCCACGAAAAACGCTGGCAAGGGTTGCCTTATCGTTTAGTGACAGCCGGTGCGAGATGACACCCACGCGGGCCCACCAGCGCACGATGACTCATCCTCGGAAGCCATTCGGCAATGTGGCGACATAATTGGAGCCCCGACTGTGACAGCAGCCACTCGGCATCGGGAAGTGCTGCGTCGGCTGTCGGCCCGCCTACGCTGGTGGCTCGGGAGGGCTGCAAGTTCCGGGGAGTGGAGGGAGGCGCCCAGTGTGTCGCCGAGGGTGCTCCACAATGTTTGCCAACTCCTTGGCAAACGCCCGCGGCGAGCGATGTTTGGCGCCAAGTTTGACCCGCTAGTGACAGTCAAAGAACGGCCAGGTCAAGTGTGCGGTCAACTGCTGCTACCTTTGTGGCTTTGTTTGATGAAGCCAAAGAAAGAGTCCCGTGCTTTGTCTGCGAGCTCTTAGCTTCATTTCAGACAATGGCCTGCCGCCCCAACACGTAATAGGGCGCCTGGGCACACCCTGTGACGAGATATGCAAACGGTGTCGTGTGCTCGGCGACGATTAAATCCAGGCAGAGAGCGTCGCGAGCTCTCCGCGGTCTCGGCAATCACCGGTGCTCCCCGGCGGCCTTCTTTATCTGGCCGCGGGCCCATTACCGGCGGAGGGTAAACACCAGGAGGCGCCGGCTGCATCCGTGCTCTCGCCGCGCCCTGTGGAGCGATATTATACCACCGCCGCAGCCCCCCGACCCGGCGTCACACGGAAGCGGCCGGAAGACAGATAAGGCGCCGGCAGCGGGCCGATTTATTGGATTACACTGCACCGTGATCCACAGCGCGGTGAGAGAGGAGCGCAGCGCGGCCCACGCGCCGGTTATAAGTGCGCCCGTCAGCCGGGAGGCGCGCGACGCTATCAGACATGATGGTGGCGATAGCGCATCATCGGGGAACAGCGCCGCTCCCCACCCGCGACCGCGCGCGGAAGTAGAACTTTAGCGATCCATTTTCCGAATGAGACGCGTTCCGGCCTTTGTCGCGGCTTTGTTTCTGTAAGCGGCGGAGATGGCGACTCTGCTGATACATGGGTCTAGCGACAGACAGACGCGACCCTGCGGCGGCTGGGGCCGGGGGGGGGGGGGGTGCAGGCCGTCCTGCCGCACCAGCAATCAACTGAACCACTCCGGCCGGCCGGCTCGTCGATTACCGCTGAGATCATTTTCAGCGGCACCGCTGCAGAAGCGATCAGGCTGAGCGGCTCCTTCAGCGGCGGGCAGTGGGGATAGCAGGTCGGCCGGCAAATTGGCGGCAAATTGACGGCTCGACTGACAGCGCACGGCGACCCGGCCGGACCTGCGCCGGCCGGTCACTGGGGTCGGTCGGTTGGTACGCTTCTGAGAAGGATCAGACGGGCGCCGGGCTCGTTTTCAGTTACCGGTCACGTCCGGCGCCCGATTAGTCCCTGCTCGGGCGTGAAACTGTCACCCGGAGAGCTTTATAGTGAGTGGTCAGCGCCCCCTCCTGCAGCCGGTAGCGACGTCTTCTTGGACTTCGTATAAGTATGACGTCACAGAGACCATGGTGGTGGCGTATGGATGACTAGCTGTTCAACCAATTAAACATCTATCTACAGGGTGGGGCAGCATAATCGGGAATGCTTTTTGGGCTCTGGTCATGAGTAGGCATGGCATTATTTTGATAAATTATATCATGGCAATGAAACGCCCAAAAGTTGTGCATCATCTGACATGACTACATCCATGAGCATGCAACTTCCTGGAAAAGAGCAGCAAAATAGTTCGACGGTGCTCCAAGTGCTTTGCGCGCGCCCATAGACACTAATGTTAAACGAGTAAAACAAGAACATTTTGTTTAAAACAATGCCATTCCACGTAAAGGTTGCTGGACAGGTCAACGTGTTATCACGGACGATAAGGATTGTGTGGGGATACTTAGGACAAAAAGTTAACGTAATCGTCGTAAAATAACTCTTAGCAGAGGACATACAAGATGACTCACTTGAATATAAGGAAGAAGCTCTTGAGCATATTAAAAAGAAACAATGTTCAAAACTTCAGCGACCAAAAATCTTATCACCGACTGGAATACGATAAAAAAGAATGGCATGCCATATAGGGGATTGTATCGAGAATATTGCAGCGGTCATGCAAAGTAAACATCCTGTTGAGGTGATGGACCTATGGGTGGTCTTCAAGGGAGGTGCACGTGGTGCACCCTACTTCATCGAGCCCGGATAAAACGAGCACCTCTGGTAAATACATCCACACTCTGGCAGACTCACGTGGAGTCGTCGGAAGAGAGGATCACTGACGGTCCAGATCACGTCTTACGAGGACTCTGTCCGTGCTGGTACTGCAGTGAGGACGACATGTTATTGTGTAGGGCACCTCCACCTGAGATGAACCAAAAACTTCTGGTCCTTCAACTCCGCCGATTTAAATCCGACCAAATTTTTTATATGGAGCGTTTTTTGGTAGAAGTTTAATGAACAACTTATCATCAGTAAAAACGGTCTTCAGTGCAAGGTACGAAGCTGATGGGCGATCATGGACAAGCAGGAGGCTGCACGTGCATGCGCGTGCTTTTGGACCCGCCTTGAGAAGGTCATCGACGCGAAGGGCGGTCAAATAGGATGAGGGATAGGTAAAAGGTGACCGATTGATGGGATGTTGTTAAAATAGTGCTTGGAGCTATATTTTTAAATTCATGACCAAATAATCCCGTTTGATATTTATTCCCGATTATGCTGCCCCACCCTGTACTGTTGAAGCTTGGTCTATGTGACGCCTCGGGGTGTAATAACTAGACACTTTGAATACGACCACACAACGGGGAGGGTAGGGGCGGGAGATGACTGATCTGACCTTACCCCGTACATACATAAAACACCGTTGATAGCCTCGTGTACTCCACGACCCCACTCGTCCGGAATCGACCCACCTGAACGACCTCATCTGCGACGAATCGTCCCCGGACGTGGCCAGCCTGCAGGCGCTGGTCGTCCCAGAGCCAGGTGACGCGACTGGGGGCCGGGTCGGAGCAGAACCTCTGCTCCAGAACTGCCTGTTGACCGCGCACCGCCGGCACCATCCCCAGCGGCAGCTGGAGAGGTTCGGCAGCGCGCCGCATCTGGGGCGGTCCTGGGGGAGGGAGGAAGGGAGTTATCAGAGGGGAATTTAGGGTGAGGTGAGTGTTCAAAAGTCAACACTTCTTGGTGATAGGTCGCAGTTACCGGTCACAAATTAATCAATGGTTGTTAAAGGGACCATCCCACCTTAACATTAGTTTTGAGTTGAGATAGCCAAGTTTGCGGCCAGGCTCAGAAACCACCATTTATCCTGGTCGCAACCCCCGCAGCTTTATGGTGTTCAAGAAATTTCTTCCCTTTACTTGCAGGGTGGGACCAGCTTAGTCCCTATCTCTTAACCATTAGCGGTTTTTTAATGACGTCAGCAGTCATTTCAACGCCCGCCATTCCTTGAACCCGAGTTTTGCTGACCTTGAGCTCCCTTTTTTACACGGACGTATAAATAAACTGGACCCGCAACCACCTCCATTCAGGTGAAGCCGACAAGGCGCCATTTTACGTTGCCAAAAACCCGTGCTCTGAAAGGTCATCGAGCCAATACAATTGGAATTGCGTCAAAACGGATGATCGGATCGAGATGCTGGTGGTACCGTTCGACGGGTAATGCTTTCAGGCAGGTGATGACGCATGTCACAGGTCATTCGGTGTCACGTGGCGCGTGCCACGTGCCGACAAAGTCAGGAAGGGCAAAAACCTTTAAGCGACGCTCCAAATTAAACGGTGCGCGGCACAGGTGCCAAATTCACAGGTCACATGTCCCGGTGTTCGACCATTAACATATGGTATGCTCGGCAGCAGGGGGTGCGGAATGTACGCGCTAGGGGCGAAAAACATGTTTTGAGGAGGCATCCTCCGATTCCGGAAAACCTTGACCTAGGCACACCAAATTTGGCACACTGACACTACTGGACACGCGCTTTAAGGTGGTGTACAAATAGGCGTGCTGGGGTACACGGTGCACGTGCTGTGCACGTGCAAACCTTTTGATGTTGCACTTTGTGTCACATATGCGGGCGCGCGGGTAGCGCTGGCAAGCTCAAAGTGCCAAATTTACATAGGCCATCCAGAATGCATTCCAGCATAGTTATTGAGCATATCCATCTCCTGGTGGACCCCGAAGATGCGCTCTGCACGTGCAAAAATTGTCCGCGCCGGGCGATGGGGATGCTTGGACACCCCATGTGGATTTATGTAAATATCTCGAAAATAGCGTTGTTTAGCGCCGCCTCTGACCTTTTTTAACCATTTCCGCTTTATATCATTTTTTGTCTTATCAGATTCGATTTAGAGATATTTGAAGTGTGCGAGAGACGCAACTCAATACCTTCAGTGGACGTTAGCAGGGAAACGTGACAAAACAAATTTAATCGGGAAATTGTACCTGTGACTTCTACTTATGTCCTGGGGTTATTTCAGGTCATGATCGCCCTCCACAACATTTTGACAGTAACCTTTGGTAGAGACATGCAAAAGCGCTGAAAACACTTTCGATATGATTAGTTCAACTTCGTAAATTGAGGTTGTTGCGAGTTCTACGGGTCATTTATCAGGAATGTCATGTTTGTTTTGATCACAATTCACAGCTGATGTTTTCATGCATTTAGGCCAGGTCGGGTCAGGTCAGGTCAGGTCAACCAGTAGGTGTCCTGCCGCTTATCCATAGTGGGTGTCAACCACCACTGATGGCGTCGTAATATGTTACGAACAATACGAAGACACTAAAACTATAACTTCTTAAATGTTAAACTGAATGCTAAATTCGAAATCAGCTCCAAAAATTGTCCTAGACTCCTAGAAACATGTAATTTGTAAAACTCGAAAAGGTGAACCAAGGTCATTAAAGGTCAGTGACCTTGACCTAATTTTCACGTGACTTTGACACCCACCATATTGCATGTGACCAACATTATATCACATGTTTGAACGCTTGAAACCACGAAAAGACAGCAAACGCGTTGGCTAGTGCGCGCCGACATACGCCGAATCGCGATTCCGGCCAAACATGGTCTCGTAATAATAAATTAATGATGCTGATTTACCGCTACTCAGTCAAGTTCGAACCATTTCTTGGCCGCGGTCACCGTCCAGGCCACCACATACCTAGTCGTATTACACCGCGCTTGCTCAATGCTCAGTTCGTATTGTAAAAGCACTGCGGCACAGCATAGATGCAGGCGCTCTGCTACTGCCATCTATGGGTGAAAGATGAAGATAATGGTTATTGCGGTACAGTATCACTACAGGCGCAAACAACGTGGAAACAAAGATGCCTATGCTGCGCTACCGGGCGATGGTAGCGTAAATTTGCGTTGCTGTGGGTAGCTAAAAGTTTTGGAGCCCGAATTAACGTAACCTGATGACCTAACCTTGAGTGACCTAAGTCTGAAAGTTACGCAGCATGTGTGAAAAAGACGTATGAAAAGGTGTGCCAAAAACGGCGGCGCTACACAACGCCGTTTTCGAGATATTTACAGAAATCCACATGGGGTGTCCAAGCATCCCCACCGCCCGGCGCGGACAATTTTTGCACGTGCAGAGCGCACTTTCGGGGTCCACCAGGAGATGGATATGCTCAATAACTATGCTGGAATGCATTCTGGATGGCCTATGTAAATTTGGCACTTTGAGCTTGCCAGCGCTACCCGCGCGCCCGCATATGTGACACAAAGTGCAACATCAAAAGGTTTGCACGTGCACAGCACGTGCACCGTGTACCACAGCACGCCTATTTGTACACCACCTTAAAGCGCGTGTCCAGTAGTGTCAGTGTGCCAAATTTGGTGTGCCTAGGTCAAGGTTTTCCGGAATCGGAGGATGCCTCCTCAAAACATGTTTTTTCGCCCCTAGCGCGTGCATTCCGCACCCCCTGCTGCCGAGCATACCATAGGGGAAGTTGGGGCAATGCCGGAGTTGGGGCAAAGCCGAAATTCAAGATATTTCGAAAACCGTAAGACATGGATGCCACCTGTCAGTGATGCTCTGAAGCTTTAGTGACTACAATTATCGCATGTTTGTTACGATTCGTCATTCGGAATACTTCGGCTGTGAGGGCGCCAAGAGCGTTTTTAAGGTACGCGTTCCTTGTACTAAATGCGCCTTTGAAGCTGCATTTCTTACTCATTATGCTACCGTTTGTCTGGCCAATTCGGTCAAGTAATCTTTAGCATGTCTTTGCATAAGTGTGCTGCCTATTTGAAATTTATACAGCACGTTGAAAAGTTATGGGCCTGCAAATGAAAGTATGGCTGGCTGGGGTAATGCCGAAAACGTGCGATTACGCACGTGTTAAAAGCACGCTACGTGGACTTTACTGCTGTAGAATAGCAACGCGTATTTTTAGTCACACAAATTACACTTTCAACCGACACAACGGCCTGTTACCTATAAGGAATGATTTACCTGGCATTTTCTTATTATATCACACAATTATAACTTCCAGTGTGCACCGCGTCCTCAAGCTCTTGAAACGTGTGTCAGCTTTGATGAATTCTGGATAAAGTTTGAGATAAAATGGCAAAACATCAATGTCGGCATTCCCCGTAGATCATTTTTCCCATTTTCGGCTTTCCCCGCAGTCCGGGGCAACGCCGAAAAAGTCACTTCTTTGATATTTTTAGTTTGTGCGCTTAACGGTATGCGAATTCATCAAATGCGCCTGGTATGTTTGAAAGGCAAAAGACTGGCCTCTCGAATGACGCCAACAAGAATAGCGTATGTTGTCTACCTTGCGTGCTACGGGCGTCAGAAAAAAAGTCTTCGGCGTTCCCCCAACTTCCCCTATGTTAATGGTCGAACACCGGTACATGTGACCTGTGAATTTGGCACCTGTGCCGCCCACCGTTTAATTTGGAGCGTCGCTTAAAGGTTTTTGCCCTTCCTGACTTTGTCGGCACGTGGCGCGCGCCACGTGACACCGAATGTCCTGTGACATGCGTCATCACCTGCCTGAAAGCATTACCCGTCGAACGGTACCACCAGCATCTCGATCCGATCATCCGTTTAGACGCAATTCCAATTGTATTGGCTCGATGACCTTTCAGAGCACGGGTTTTTGGCAACGTAAAATGGCGCCTTGTCGGCTTCACTATCTTCCATAGGAGGTCCATTGGGATCGTCAGTCCAGTTTATTTATACGTCCGTGCTTTTTTATCAACGTGAAATCCGTCGTCGGCGCTGAGAAAGCCTATTGCTTTTCATTTTAATTTGAATATTAGAAGATACCCACCACTGGAACTTGGACTGATATTATACCAAGGCCGAAGATGATCAAGCTGCCTGCTATATCTGGAGCTTGGTGTTCAACTTCAACATGGAATAAAAAACAAAATATCAAAGCAAACTGGATATGGTACTGCAAGTTAAAGTCCAAAGAAATTTGAAGAGCTGACAATTGACATTAATTCTTTTCCTGCAAGGTTTCCATATGGAGATCACAGTCACACCATGAAGACATATTTTTGATGTTAACAGTTGAAAGGGGATTTATCTTCCAGTTTTGACGAAAGACGCTGCTGACTCTTTGGAAAAGGATGTCGGCATGAGGTGCAATTGTGCTTGTGAAGTGGTTATAACTGGTCTTTTCACAGTATTAAATTAAATGTGCCATTGCAGCCAAGTGTGTTATCATGTAAGGTAAAATCAAAACTACAATGTTGGTTTTACGAGCATTGAGAAGGCTGGTAGGTAACACCTGCCTGTGCTCGTAAATCATGCTGCCAGAGTATTCTAAATTAATTTTATCATACACTTTTGTTGTCCAGAATGGTTGCACTATTGTTTGGTATCATATTATTCCATGTAAATATGGTAGTGTAAAGTCCGACCAACATGTTACCAGATTTGAAGCTGTTACGTTACCTAAGTACCTGTTTTTTACTGGCGTGGTGAATGTCACCTGGATTTTGTTATGAGGTGCAGACCTAGTAACTCTGACTACATGGGTTTGAAGCTATTATCTATTCTGTTTTTACTGGCCTGGTGAATGGCGACTGATGTTGTCCGTGGATGGCACTGAAACAAATTTTGAGTGTTTTGTACAGTGTTTTAATACAATGCTGAGGGCTGAAAGTTGTCTTGTTTAGAGTGGTGAAAGTTCAGGATATGCCAGCCACCATGGTGGGTCAGAGTTAAATGTGTTGCAGTCAGTTCGGCTTCGGCAAGCACACGGATGGGCATACGCATCAAGACCTGCTCTGCCATACTTTCAGCCAATTTTACCTAGGTAAGTCTTTTCTTTTTTTCTGCCAAAAGCTATGACATTGTGAATTTCAGCACTGTGGCCTGTGTGTAGCTTTCAGGAAAGCAATTCTAAATAAAGCTCTGATAAAGTGCAAAATCAGCAATGCAGCCCTCTATTACCAGAGGAGAGCGACGCGCCTGGTAACCCAAATCAGACACCTTCCCTATGAAGAGCGCCTACGAGAACTGAAGCTGCCTTCGTTGTTCTATCGGCGGCGGCGAGGCGATATGATCCAAATGTACCAACTGATGCATGGAGGTGTTGACCTGGCTCCGGAAGAGTTCTTTACCTACTGCTTCCACCGACGGTCGTACTCGAGGCCACTCGCAGAAGGTCCAGAAGCCCAGAGCCACCACCAGACCAAGGAGGAAATCGTTCAGTGTGAGGGCAGTCAATGACTGGAATGGCTTGCCGCAGACGGTAGTTGACGCTGCCAATATCGAGCAGTTCAAATCAAGATTGGATGCCCACTGGGCAAACATCAGGTACATGGTACCTGATAGGAGCTAGAAAGGTCCAAAAAGGTCACGAGCTCGATGAGAACGGTTCCCTACAGGCCAAGTGGCCTCTAAATTCCGATCAAATTAAGGTAAGGTATTACATTTTCTACAACATCTTACTTGTTCCTTGCATGGAGAGAAAAATGCAATGTTATGAATTCATTTATTCACATAATTTGACAAGCATGCAGTTACCTGCTACTATCACTGCACAAAACAGAGCAGAAAACATCAGTTGATCAAACACAAGACATAACAGAAGTTTACAACATAGGGCTGCCGAACCTGCTTCCTCCCACCACAGTTGATGCCATTTCCTAGCCTAGCCTGGCTTGATGTGAGCACTGAATAGCTGCTTTGTCTAATTACAGCTCACTACCATTCAACTTAAACTACTCTCTTTAGAGTAAGAGTGAGAGCGTTCAGTGTTCATAGCAGCTCGACAGACGACAGACAACAAACATCTTGACAAACCAACCAGTATTTGATTTGGCTAATGATTTATGTGCTTGTTGTATCATGGCCAAAATACTTTAACAGCAATAATCCCTGTTTCATCTTGATCTTGCTTTTATTTCCATTTGAACTCAGATCTTGAAACAATCATCTGAAGTGATATCAGATACTGGCTTCTGTTTCTCTTGAAAGCAAGTTAAAACAACAATGATAAACTAAGGCAGGAGATGTGAGTTGTGGCAGTAGATTTTTGATTCAACATATGTCAACCTTATATTGCTTGAGACCTCTGTGACAGACAAACAAATATTTATAGTTTTTTGATAGTTTGGATTCTTGGCTTGATTTAGCAGATCAGCTGTGAACCTTGACTTTGAAATCACATAAATGTCATGGTACCCGAACGAATCCTCGCATGACATTTCTTCGTAGCACAATTTTTCGTCCGCATTTCTTCGTCTAAAAATCTTCGTCGGTGCATTTATTTGTCCCTCAATGCTTACTCTTGCATATATTTGCGTTGAAGAAGAAATGCGAGCCGATTTTCATATACCCTGGTGCGAGACAAAGTAATGCGATAGGTACGAATAAATGCCCTGACGAAGATTTGCAGACGAAGAATTGTGATACGAAGAAATGCCATAAGAATTGTCCTGGAATCCTTTATTGGCCATCATATATTGACCTTGATAAGATAAACGCATCATTCGCGCAATATTTGTCGCACTTTGATACCAAACTATTGCTTCCAAATGCCGACGTAAAGAAAACCTTTATGTGACGTCATAGAAACAGCGGATTTCCCAAAAAGTAAACAAAAATAAAAGTCTTATATCTCGAAAACGGGTGAATATTTTCCGGTAAAATTTGGTAGATGTTCATTTTCGCTCTTTGTGATTCACGCTACATCACTTTTATGCCAATTCATTAACTTTTTTGAAGGTGGGAGGGTCCCTTTAATCGGACGAAAGTCACTTTGTCATTGGTCATCAATCATTGGTCATTGGTCATTGGTCATTGGTCATTGGTCATTGGTCATTAGTTATTGGTCATTGGTCATTGGTCAATGGTCTTTGGCCATTGGTCATTGGTCAATGGTCAATGGTCAATGGTCATTGGTCATTGGTCTTTAGTCAATGGTCAATGGTCATCAGTCATCAATCCTTGGTCACCAGTCATCAATCATCCGCCACCAATCATCGACACGTGGAATGCTGCCCACTGGCATTGCCCGAGTTGGTTCAACAGACATCAACTTTCATAGGGCGGGAACGAGGCGGGGGCAGGGCGGAGTACGGCAGCGATCATTTCAGACCGTTCCCAGTCGACTGAGCCTCTTTAACGACTCGCTGTTGACTAGATGAAGTTCGCTGCACTCCGACAACTTCGCCCAACTTCGCCCGGGCGGAGCCGCCTCGGCCCTCCGAAACGGGAGCGCTCTATTTCCGGTCGTTCAGTGCCGGGCAAGTTTTGGCCGATCGGCCGGCGCCGACAGTTTCTTTTCTGGACAGGAATAAATGGGCGACGGGCCGATGTGGTGAATGAACGATGACGTCGATTTTTCCGCACGTCACTTGGTTGGCTCCACGGGCCATGAGGCTGTCAATAGACCAAGCGTCTCCTACATAACACGCCGAGCCCGCCCGGCAGGGTTGGGTCGCTCAGAGCCGGCGCTGAACTCTCCGTCAGCGCCGCCGCCGCGTCAGTGATCGCCGCCTCAGCCGGCGCGGCGCGTGCCGTTCACACGGAGCCCCGACCGGAGCGCGTGCGAGTCGTCAAATCGGCCCGGGCGCCGCACCCGCTCTCTGTTTACCCAGGCGGCGTATTTACATACTATTGGCGGTGGTCGCGGCGGGCTGCGTCCAATCCAATATCGACGCAGCACCCGGCTCTGTTTGAGGCTGCTCCATGGCAAACAGTGGCCTCGCACGGCTGCGAACGGCTTGGTGGGGTGCGCGGACTCGGCACTCACTCAGAATCACTCGGAGACGCGACAGTTTCAGCGTCTCCACCCCTCCCCGACCGGCGAGCAGCGTCGACAAATGAGCAGGGTGCCACACAATCAGCGTAAGCCAGCCTGCTAATAACACGCTGATGACTCGCAGGCGCTCGAGGCGCACCCCGGGGGATCAGACGGTAGCTACTGCCGCTGACAGGAAGAGGGGAGGGGGACAGAGGGAGGGAGAGCCGTGATCATGCGTCACGCTCTGTTATGACGCCGTGGAGCGGGATAACATAAGGGTTGTCGCTGCATGACAATAAACCAATGAGCGACGTGTAAACAGCCGACACGCAATATGACGTCCGGTGATTGGTGGCACGAGCAAACGCCGCTATTGACCCCGACCGTGGCAGCGAGCCGGATTAATGACGGCCTATTTACCCAGTTGGACCCCGTATAAACATGTCACAGACTGGCATACCGCTTTGGCAGGCGTGTGTGAGACAAATATCAATAGTCAGCGCGGCATATTACACAACGACGCGGGTCTTAAAGCCTCTAGGAGGCTTGAGAACAGTTGGAAGGTATCGGGCTCTGGTCAACGATCCGCTGTCATTCTTGTTATACCCAAAAACCGACCCTGTGAACAAAACATTCTCTTATACACCGAAAACCCGTCTCTGGCACCCAAGCCCACCCCTGATGTAAGACCCATATATCTCGTGCACCCGGACCTCGCCTCTGCACCCTAACCCCTCCATGCACCCAAATCCCGCCCCGTGCACTCACCGACCACCTTCAGATGAACCGGCTCGGAGCGGTCCGCTCGCTCCTCTCCGTTGATCACGTTGGTCGCCAGGCAGATGTAGCGACCGCGGTGTTCGTAGGTGACATTTTCCAGTGTCAGCCGCCCGCCAGAGCCGCGCACAGTGCTGGGCTGGGGTCCGCGGGTCTGCAGCCATCGGTAGGATGGTGGCGGGTTCGCCTCGGCCTCACACTCCAGAGAGGTCGAGTTGTGCAGCGAGACGGTCACGTGACGCGTCGGGTGCACGCGGTATATCCGAGGCGCGTCTGTGAATGGGTCACGTGATGGGGTTTGTTAGTGAGCGAACTGTTAGCAATGCCCGGAGGTCGATAAGAGATATGTGTGGTCAGATTGTTAGGTAGTTCTCACTATGCCCCTTTTTGACCCTAAGATGTGTTACCTAGTGGCTGAGGAAAGATGGGACAACCGATCAACTTTTCGGCTGTCCCTCCTTCACTGGTGTGACGAGGAACTGTCCTTTTATGGAGTGTGAGGGGTAGGAATTTCCTTCAAGGTACGAGCAAACAGAGTGGTTCACTATTGCGCAACAATCACATGACATCAGCGCGCCTAAAAGGCCGACAAATCGGAGAGGCTGGCCAGTCACGCTATCACGCCCAGGGCTGCCGGCGCGGCGCGGGCGCGGGCGGGGGCGGGGGCGGCGCCGAAGACGTGCCGCCCGCCGGTTACCGGAACACGCCCCTCGGTCACGACAGCTCGGCGACCGCTCGGCGTGACCGGGCCGATCGAGCCATCGCGTGCACGCACACCGGGATCCGGCGTCCGCACGCGCGGGCGTGAGGCTACACCTGTCGCCTACTTGTCGGATATCGGGGGAACACAATGGTGCTATTACAGTCCCGCTGAGAAGCATCAACATCCTATCAAACGCTCTAAATAGACTCGACCGCATCAAACTTCTACCAGCCACTCCCACCACGGATAGGTAGCCTCTTGGTCAGCGATGGTCGGAAAGTCCCCATAGCTTCTAACAATAACGACCTATTAGCCATCTTCCACCAAAAAACTATTCGTATATAAGACTCTCAACAACCCGCACCGTAGCGGACCTCTCAGTCATCTCTCCCGTCCGACGTCCCAGACCGTACCCTCATTTTCCTGCACACTCACATTTGATGTCGAGCGTCACGCTCAGGGGCCGGCTCTTGCCGATGTGGTTGCTGGCCTCGCACTCGTAGGTCCCCGAGTTCTGGCGTGCCACCGGTCGAAACTCCAGCTGCTCGACAAAATACTCCTCGCCTCGCCCGGTACCGGCGGCCGCGAACCGCCAGACCACCTTGGCCGGCGGGTTGGCGTCGACACGACACTGCAGAACCGCTGCCGAGACGTTGTCCTCGAGGTCCTCGGTAGTGGGCGCGACGATGCTCAGCTCGGGCGCGTCTGCAACATGAGGGAGAGTGTAGTTCAACGCGAGCTAGTGGAGAAATATCTATGCTAGTTAGCATAAAGGATGAATATTAGTCATTTGGAGAAGTTAAATGAAAGAAGGGCTGACATCTCGGCATCTCGCGTGATTTCGTGACCGTCATTTTCAACAGCGTGGACCACCCACGACGACATAGCCGACGTTAGCGAAAAGTGGTCAACTTTATCAAAAGTCAGCGCATAACGACGCCATATTGCGGAGTGTTTTCGTATTCATGACTCCACATATCGCATGCCATTGAGCGATGAGAAATTCCTGGCACTGACATGTCGACCTTATTTATATCCCGCCCCGGGCTGGCAACATATTCCACTCGAGGACGATAGGTGGGGCGACGGGGAACAGGGTAAGGAGCCAGCGTGGAATGGGGCTCTTCAGGGAAACTATTCTATTCAACGGCCACCGGATGGAAGAAAGGGCACTTTCCTTGATAAAATACCTAGTCTACGTCCTTGCTAAGTCTCCTTAAAAAATAAGTCATCGATCACCTTATTAATTAATGCGTCCAGTGCGTATGTCGACAAATAGTAGTTCTCCCCCTCCCCCCCCCCAAAAAACGTACTGACGAAGAACCCCACTATAGATAAACGGGATGTGCTAATCCTCCTGGGTGTGATTAATCACAAAGCATGGGACGCTTCCCAGCTACCGGCCACCCCGTGACCAATAAACGATATCGCGGCTTTTCCAGATCCCGTCGCCCCGAACGTGCCGTCAGCTCCGATACGGGGATCATCCCGTCCTCAACGGTCGAATTCCGACCGGTGGCCGTCCTTCCAGTTCCCTCCCTCCCGTCAGTCCTCCTGCTATCACCCTCACAGTCGAACACGAATTGACAAGTCCGGTCGGTCGGGGATAAACCGATGCGAGCTCCACTGTGTTCCCAGCGGCTGTGTTCTCACAGTGTTATGTTCCCGCCCGTCCCTCCAAGCCAGGTGTTCTGGGCGCTAGTCAAACTGCCTCCGGACGCGGTGGCTCTCCCGACCCCGCAGCTGCCGCTGATGTACCCCTCTCCCCTCCCCTCCGTCGCCGACAACCCTTCGCCGTCATCACAATCAATTACCGCGCCGGTGCACTATGGTTGGAAACGGCCTCACGGATGGCCGTGGGCAATTTCGGAATTTATGTATATTTGGGGTGTCGTTCTGTTGGAAATTGATGAAATGTTTTGAATTGGGCAGAAAAAATTATTTAGTTGCGCATTTAGTCTCTATTATTGTACGTGGAATCGGGAGTTTCTGATAGTGGCTTTTTTTGGTGCGCCGTCAAAGGTTTAAACAACCGCGCTGGTGATAGCATGTGGAGTACCTCCATGACGTTGTAAAACTGGATTATTATATATCAAAATAATCCTTGTTATGTTGGCTATCGAGTGGAGTGACTCTTTTTCCCATGCGTGTTCAAAATCAGGAACGGCATTGCATTCTGTTTGCAGTGTCACCACAGCAATATTTGCAAAATTACGTTTATGTTTCATTGGACATACAAAAAGTTCTCCATCGACCTCCATTGAGCTTTTTGGCAGAATAAATCTCTGTTCAATTCTGCGTAAGGGGAACGTAAAAGCAGACTGCGCACTTGTGCGCAAAATCGTCCGTGAAGCTTCATCTCCCGAGGCGTACCTACCCGTCGCTTCGTTAGCACCAGGTCGGCTCGTTAGTCTTGCAATCGCTTATCCTTATAAATGATGGTAAGAAGCAGGTTTGCGGAGTCGTGGTGGCGCCAAATCCGACTCCGACTACGACTCCGACTCCTGACTCGTTGCCATGACTCCGGCCGACTCTGTCTCCGACTCCGGACCCCTGCCAGTGTTTCGGAGTCGTGATGGAGCTGTTCCGATTCGGACCGACTCCGACTTCCACTGCGGGCTCCTGACCGACCCCGACTCCGACTCCGACTCCTGGCTCGTTGCCACGACTCTGGGCGACTCTGACTCCGACTCCGACTCTGACTCCGACTCTGACTTCGACTCCGCACCCCTCGTAAGAAGTAACTGCTCGCCCCTGCACCTGGAGTATGGATATCGTGCAAACGTGTATGGATATCCTGGAGTATGGATATGGATATCCACCGACAGAGCAGACATACAGACATGCTGTAAACGCCATTACACTGCCAATACCATGGCAAATCAAATGGCTATCTATGGTTTTTGATCATCGTTCTACATTTTCCAAAATCTTGAACTGAATGTTGGCAATTTCTCGTGACTACTTCACGACCATGATGCATGCATTTCTGAAATTGATCTTTTTCAACCAGCCACGTACTCGTATATGATAAAATGAATGTCACCATCGTGTTCTACGCCCAAAAGTACCCATAAAACATGTGTCTGTCATGCATGGGCTGCGAATAGGTACCAGTTTTAATTTTCGGGGTTATGTGCTTACCTGATTGACCTGACTTTGACCCTGGCCAGTGGCCTATGTTTGACTGACCCCTACATTGATCTGACACTCTTTTAGCACTTATATGAAGGGTTGTGACAGTTGTGACAGTTGTGACAGATTGTTTAGGACCAACTGATGACTGAATTTATTTAGGACCAACTGATGACGATATAATCGAAACGCGAAACGCGATCGGCACCGATTGCGAGGTTCTAAAGTCCATGCTACTGAAAGCCCGATTTCAAGTGTTTGACCTGACCTTGACCCGACCTGTGACCTCGAAATTCAACTTTAAAGTATTCTTGTGAATCGTCTCGTCGCGTTCTTCTTTCGTTTGCCGCGCCTCGTGCGTTTCGCTGCGCCTATTTGTTCGCGAGTTATCGGCTGGGGGCGTTGAACGCCCCCCCCCCCCCCGGCAAACGGCGGATGGGGAAATACCCCAGCAACTGCCGGGTCAATCTGACGCATGTTTTGTCATTTGATCGTCATTTTATTTCTTACTTTTTTGCCCAATCTAAAAAAAAATCATAAATACTCTTTCTCCAAATTTTTGACCCTTTATGACCAATAGTAAGACACTGTGCGTCACTACGTTGATATTTCTCGCCCTAAAGCATAACAACAATATCCATTCAGTAATAGCAGTATTCAAAACATGTTCAAAATGCCTAGCGATATCGATAACATAACGAAAGACATAGGCGACTTATAGCATACTTGCAATGATGACGTCACACACGCGTGACGTGACGTGACCTCGTCATTTCTGAGTTACTGTATGATGCACGAAAGACACTGGTATACCTATGCAAAGTTTCATCGCAGTCGGTCTACGCATTAACAAGTTATGGGCAAAACATTTTTTCGCGTTGACCCCCGGCCATCCGTGAGGCCGTTTCCAACCATAGTGCGGTGGTGCGCACCCGCCGATCGGCACTGGATTACAATTACAAATGACTGCCGATCGGCCTCTGATCGGATTGTCACCCCGCTCTGGTACGGTCCGGGGTCCGGGCGGGGTCCGGGCCGACCGGTCCGGGCCCCAGCCGCGGCCAGTCACGCTCTGAAATGCGTGTCTCCTGCTTGGACAGATCACTGGTCGGAGGGTCGGCGGCGGCGTCCCTCGGCTCTCCGGAAACGCTGACAGTCGAGCAACGGTCGGACAATCCCCCGCTGGGTTTGGGCCGGACACACAAACAAATAAAACGATACGCAGCTCCAAAGGAGAGCCGCACTCGCCGCGTATGAGTTCAGAAGACCAGTGGCACAATGCCGCGTGGCTTAGTCCGGCAATATTGTCGTCTCTCCAGACAACAAAGTGAACAGGACCTAAACAGTGGACGTCGACGCAGGTCTTTGTTGTCTCCGCGTGGTATTAAACTGGACCGTTCATCCACACGGAAAAAATTGTTGATTAAAATCAGGAAATCGCGCCGGCATTCTGTGAGGTCTCAGGAATGAGAACAAAATTAAACATAACGAAAACTTGTCTTTGTTCTCGGTGGTTTTCGATGAAGCTCTTTGTTGTTTCAGCGTTGCATCACAAAAAGACTTTAAACCAGCTGCTGTTAAAGGAAAAGGGCCACCTTCGTGAAATATGAAGATATCGTTGTTTTTCATTTTGACATTATTATTTTTCATTTTCTTTTTAAAACTGGTGCCAGAAGTGCACAATTCGCGAAAAAGCATTTAAAACTATTTAACATATTGGTACTATGTTGATACTCTCTACGGCACCTATTGTATGATGGCATAGCGATGACGTCACACTCAAGCCAATCAGCGTTCAGAAGACAGACTCGTCGGATTGTGTCAGATAAGCTGATTGGTTAAAGCTGAGCTGGTTGGAGCTGATTGGTAAAAAACCAAAGCCTCGCCGCGGGTGGCTGTATTGTCGGATAAGAACGCATTCCTGGGATAAGGACGCATTCCTGGCGCATTTTCTTTTAAAATTGCCGATAACTACGAATCAGACTTGTAAACGACTCAAATTTTTTTTGAGTCGATTCTTTGTTTGAGTCTGGAAATTTGAATCGATTCATCAAACGACTCATGATGTTAAATTTAATCGATTCGAATCAACTCATGACTCATCAAGTTCCTCGATAAAATGATTCGAATCAACTCATGACTCGAGCAACTAGCCAACGGAATGATTCGAATCAACTCATGACTCACACATTTTGATGAATCGATTCAAATCGACTCATGACTCACGACATTTTTATTGAACTTATTTCATTCAACCCATGACTCACTATAGGCATTTGTTGATTATTTGACTCAAAGCTATGATAAAATGAATATGCCACATACCACAATTTTGTTAAGCAGCATAGTAGCCTTGACCAAAGATTCAAGCAGCTACCTAGTAAGACTAGGTACATAGGTACCTACTTTGGCAAACATGGTTGATGCAGTTTCCAGTTCCTAAGTCCCAATTCCACTTTTGAATTCTAATATTCCTGCAGATTGGGCTACCTATTCTGTAGCATACTGGTCACTGGTCAGTCTTGCTTCAATTTCTTATCTTGTCACCTACAACAACAGTTGGGGAAACT